CTCTGCCACTGTGGCAACCAGGCTCTTGGTCCTGTGAGAGGAAAAAGTAAAAGATGGCTGAATTGTGCAGGGATGGCCAAAGCCTCTCCTTAGAAATGGGTGCGTTTCTTCCACTCACATTCTGTTAGAGTAATTCCTATGGCTAAGTTCACAGTCAGTGGGAAGCATGAGAAGGCAGGGCAAGTCACACAGCCAAGAGCATAGATGTTCAACCTTCTTATAGGAAGGATGTGAATAATTATTAAAGCAACATAGTCTATCCTAGTTTACAAGCACACATGAAATAGTTTTGGAAGACACCCCAATTTACAAGTCCTAGCAAATTAAATGCAAAAGAGGTCACATTAGATAAAATGTGTTGGTAAATTTTATTTCAGTTATCTGTCTCAAAACTGCAGTGAGGTAGTATGATGTCTGGGATCCAGAGAGAATACAGGCTTATGGAATTAATAAGGTTTCATTTCCACAGAAAGAGAGAAATGCAGCCAAAATCAATTGCACCTTCTAGGTTTAGGGCCCTTGAGCCCTATAAGTTCCTCCTAAAACATTTGCACTGCAGCTGCTTTTCTCCTTGCTAAAGTCCTTGAGTTTCATTAATCAGGGCTCAGGGGAATGGCCCCCTTTAGCTTACTCTGATGCTATTTGGCTGTTTTTCTTCCTTCTTGTCATCTTCTAATGGGCAAAAGGAAAAAGAGAAACATTATCTTGGAAGAAGCAAATGGAACCCTGGAGGGCTGCAGAGCAAGAAGATATCTTACTCTGTTTATGTTTTCTAGCTTTCAAGGATTGTAGTATGTCTGTTTTGATAGACAGACAGACAGACAGACAGACAGACAGACAGAGAAAGAGAGAGAGAGAGAGAGATCTGCCACAACCTATAATTAGTGAATTAACAATAATTTGTCAAGTACCTATTTGTAACTTTTTTTTTGTTATACATTGAAAGAGATACAGAAAATTCATCAGTTCATCTTTCCTCTGAGATTTGCTGTTTGGTCAGTGAGCAATTCAGTATAATTTTACCTCCCCATAAAATCTGCATTACAGATGTACTGAGAGTTTGGAGCAGGGAGTTGCTATGAGGCTGAGTCAGAGGAGAGGCATGTGATTTTTTCTGTCTGTGTAACACTTGATTATATGGCTGAGCCATTGTTTATTTAATAATCCTTATTATTAGGCTTCGAGAACAATTTCAGTTCTCATCACAGCTTAGCATATTGCGCTGTGGACCTTTGTGCAATTTATCCTGCATTTTGAACATTTTTTTTTTTTTTTTTTTTTTTTTTTTTTTTAGATGTTCCATCTTATGCCTAAGATGTTTGATATTCAGACAGATTGTGAGGTTAAAACCACCTTCATATGTGTAGGGCAATAATAAGTTTCTCTTCTGGAGGGTTAACAACCTAAGTTTGCAGACCATAAATTAGAGAAAAAGAAGGACTGCAAGGACAGTCAACATTTTGACACTAGACTTTTACAGTCAGTAAAGACTCAGGACAGGGACCGGGGAGATGGCTCAGTGGAATTAACACTTCCCTGGCA